CGGAAGAACAAAGATGTTTTACCATCTGCCAACTTCAAGAGATGCACTTTAGTCAACAGATAAGCAGAGGGAGAACATCAGATGAATGCCATGGACTCTAGCAGTACAGATCACTTTACGCAGTACTCCCACCACAAAATGACATCATTTTCAACTTCTGCTCTTCCCCAGAAACTTCTCTCTTCTTGACTTGGACTCAAAACCTCTTCTTCTATTTCTATTACAATTCACTGATTGTCACACTCCTTTTTTGAATGCACCTAGAAACAACATTTTTTATCAATGCCTTCCCAGACTCCACTAACATTTCCAAACCTTGCCTTGTCTTTGATTTCTCTGGTCCAGAATTTTGCCCATCACTTGGCCATTACCAATGACACTGTCCACGAGGATATCTGGAATTTGCGGGTGCCAAATCTGGAAGGCAGAAAAAACCCAAACTATTACCTGCTATTTTAATTCCATTGTTTCACATTTTATTTCTCCCTATAGTTTTTGGCATGCAAAATTTTCTCCCCAGACTTCACAAATATGAAGTCCTTTTTTTAGTAGTTGTCATTCCGTGTTGCTTGCCAGGCAGCTGCACACCTAAAACCAGCCCTGACCTACAGCCTGTGCTGCCTTCAAACAGAGATTTTGTGTGGCTATTAATAGCAGGAAGAATAGATGTAGTTCTCAGCAACATAATGGCACAGCTTGCTAAATGTCTGACACTAAATCACAGCTATTCCCTTGTCAAAATAAGGACAGTGAGATCGGATTAGTGACTTGCACTTTCACTTCTACACTACTTTCTGATTTTTAAAAAATGTTTCTTTTCCACATGACAAAACAAAGCAGGACTGAAGGGAATCACAACAGAACTACAGATGCGTATCACTAAGACAGCATTTCCAGAAGTGCCGTGTGGCTGTAAGAACCAACAATCTATGCCGGGCCCAGGGATGAGCTGATGATAAAACATGGTATTGCTCCAGCTTCTATTTTCACAAAGATACATTGTGCTTTAAATCCTGATATATAGGAGCAATGTTTTAGGGTGTCTTATGCCATTCTGCCACAGTCACTGTAAGCCAGTTTAAGTCAGCATTAATGCCCAAAGGCTAGATTAATGCTGGCTAGGCTAGATGTTCTTGTAAATGGCTCAGCAAAAGTGCCAGTGATTGCAGAAGTGGGGCAAGACAGGGGCTGAGAAACTACAGGCAGGACAGAAAGGAAAGAACAACAGCGGCAGTGTCTGTGGTTAAAGCTGCTACAGAGCGACTCCCTCAGCTCAGCTCCCCAGACTGTTACGTTGTGGAGTTTCATAAACATTCAGGTAAGAGAAAGGGAGCAGAAGAGGATAAGAGTGACTGGATAGCAATACCAGCTTACATTGAGGTAAGGCTGTGGAGGCTCCATCCCTGGAAGTATCCAAGGCCAGGTTGGATGGGGCTTTGGGCAACCTGGTCTAGTGGAGGGTGTCCCTGCCCATGGCAGGGGGGTTGGAACTAGATGATCTTTAAGGTCCCTTCCAACCCAAACCATTCGATGATTCTAAAAAAACCTGACTTAATCAACAAAAGCTTCTATAATAACCAGTAAGAGATATAAATCAATTTAAGGCCTATGCCTCTACCAGGAACTACGTTTCCACTTGCTGTCCCACTGCAAAACCTACTCAAACCAGAGCGATACAAGATGTGCATCTCCCAAACCCCCCTTTCAGGCTTTGAAGGGCTGGACTCTGCTGCACAGAGCTAAGGCCAAGGGCAGAAGAGCACTCCCCAGAGGCTCTGGTGGGGATGGGGGGGCTGGCAGAGGCAGGAGGAAGGCCCCGGGTCAGGCCTGGGTAGGCTCTTCAGGAACCCTCACGGATCTTGGTCACAGAGACACCTGGAGCTGCAGCGTAACACCAAGCAACTACGCCAAAGGGGACAACTAACACACACTGACCTTCACCTCCATGCCCACTAGGAAACA